ATTCTGTTGATGTAGAACTCGGCGCTCGACTTCGTGTATGCAGACCAAAGAGTGGCGAAGGTCGTCAAGGCAATAGATATAACAAGACTTGGTCGCCTCCCGTAGACCAAAGCGAAGTTCTGGGTGATCAGTGTTCCCCATCCAAGGAAGAGGTACATCAGGCCATTGCCCGTACTCAATTTGGCGACTGATATGCTTGTGTCGGCTTGTATTTGCAGATAGGCGGGCGAAAGACCAGAAACGATGGCGGCAATGAAGAAGCACCAAATCATCACCCAGACGATGTTGAATGTCTTACGCTTCTGGGTCCACGCGAGTGGATCATTGGGGTCGTTGCTCGGCTGAGGAACAAGCACGATGTTGGGTTGGCCACTTCCATGCTTCACGTCAAGAACGCCCTGGGTGTCAACGAGCTGAACTGTTCCAGGAACCTCGAAGGAAGACATTTGCTGTGACATGACCGCTGTTTAGATGTAAAATGAACGAAAGAGAGTTTGTAGCTTCTCGGCCTGATTCAACGCAATCGTGTGCAGCGAGCTGACGATATATCACGAGAATCTCCGAGGATCATGGCTTATTCAACACTGCCCAATGAGTGTTCGTCAAATGCAGGATTCCTGCATGCCATGTTCTGGATTGCGTACTGGGTTCTGTGCCTTTATCAAGAGGTCTCATCCATGCGTACGCTAGGCCGATCGGGGGAAAAAGATGGGCCAGCACCACCTGGTCAGTCACCCCAGCATGAGTCGCACGAGACGACTGCAAAAGTCACTGCCCAGGAACTGTAATCTTTAGAAGTAGCTATCCTGGAGCCAAGGATGGCCACGTATAGAAGCTAGTGATAGAATTTTCTAGGGTAAAAAGCGCAGGAACGGCGCTCTTCCCCGCATGAGCCCCGTTGTCACTGTACCGTTCTGATAAGTTCTCGTTCGACAATCTCCACTACGTCTAGCTAAACAGTGACTACCGGCGCTCAGGCCGAGATAGTCAACTTCATCGCCCGAGTTGTGCATGGAATGCGCGGGACGAAGCTAGCACTATCAAGCTACCGAAGTAAGCTGCAGTAGCCCTCATCGCGGTGCCCGATAACCAAGTTGGCGATGAGAGAATTGCAACCACACGCGAACCTTATTTGTTTCTAGACGGAAAGTCTCTCGGCTGAATTTTGACAATTGTAATCTAAGCGGAATCTCCCTTAACCTTGTTTGGTCTCACGAAGCTTCAAGCCTGAGGCCCAGAACCCGTGGACCGCCTCCGGCCCTGAATTCTTGGGTCAACATCGGCCCGAATTCGACGGCCCCGTATGACCCCATGACTTCCGTGGAGATGGGTCTATCCCGTCGACGCCCCGGTATTCCCCCGGAACACGGAGCACATTATCACCGCCACAAGGCATCACTGAGAGCGGCCCGCTTGACTGCCGTACCAGCGCTGTATCATTAGAAGCTGAAACATTGGCTTCGTATTCCATGTCAGATGTTTCAAAGGCACTAGAGCAAGTGGGTGATTGATTGCCAGCAATAGAGCTAACAGCCCTGATAAGCCAGATGAAAGCTTCACTCAAAGATATCCCACATCGTACATCATACTACTTGCCCGATCCCATAATGAACATTACACCTGCCGCGTACCACAAAAACCAGTAAGGACCGTTAAATCGCCTACTTTTCTTCGACTTCACCCTGTGTGCGCCTAACCGTAGGCAATGGCTCGGCGTAAGCACCCATTTTCTTCCGCTTGTCTCTGCGACTCGACACACAACACCACACACAGCAACCACACAGCATGATTCCTATAACTGAAGGAATGACTGTAACCAGAACCAAGAACTCAGTAAGGCCATGATATCCCTCAGGTCGGTATGCTGTGGTTGTCGTAGCAATCGCTTTGCCGGGCACCCCAGACATACCGGATACATGGTCTCTATTGGTAGTATGTCTGTGGTAGTTGTAACTAGTCGGTAATTGCTGAGCATCGTCAGTAACTTCAGGCGATCCATGAGGATGTCAACATGGTGATAGAGCTGACCTCAGACAGCAATATGCTGTGGATAGCGTGGTAGAAGATGTAGTTGTTGTAGCCAGGAGATGTGCTACCCAGCCACTTGGACACACTGCAGGACTGAAATTCAATTGCCTGCATCCGTCATTTTGCTTCCATTGAAATGGCTGGTATGCTGAGATGCGCGGATTGGCCAAATTTGAAAACGCTATATCAGTGGTCCCTTTTGTCGTCCCGTCTACGTGAATCCACGATGCAGCCTCTCGAATAGCAGCGCAGTCCCAAGGATACCTGAACGGAGCTATGAGGGCATCCTTTCCAACTCCTGTGGTTGACGATAAGGCGACAGTTGAAGTGGGTGCGAGTGTCATGGTTGTGAAAAGTCGAGTGCTGGCAGGTTTCGGAAGAGTCTTTCCCATTCAAATAAGGTAGTCAAAGGTGGGACGGCAAGAGTGCCTTTAAATACCACCCCTACCCTGGAGCATTTCGACAATAACTTCGTATTCCAGGCACAGCCATACAGAGCCTGTATACCTACAGAGCAAGCGTCAGCGCCAACCGAAGTCTCCGTACTAAGACAATGGCCCATTGCGAGTGGCTGCAAGTGCTCGCTTACGAGAAACGACATCTCTAATGTCACTGGGACCTTCCTGAAAAGGTTCAAGTGAAAGCGGTAGATGCCTAAACTTGGAGTCGCTTTTAGTCTGTGCCGCATCCGCCACAGTCAAGATTGGCCTCGTAGTCTCAACCAGGTAATGGCGGTTTGTTGGATGTGATTTTGGAACCCATGGAAATTTATAAAGCTCCGCAGATGTTGGCGGGTGTTCATATCCTTGGGGAACAGACCGTGATTGGTTGTAATACGCCAAAGTGCCCTGAGCTCCGCCATACACGCCTGTAGACGTTGTTGGCATACATATGAATGTGGTGTCTGCCTATTTTCCACTGTCAGAGGTTTACATCTAGGGCTTTCAGGGCGTACATAGTCTCAAAGATCTTACTCACGCTACCGATATATTGGCCACGAAAATGCATCAGCGTAATCTCTTTCTTTTTATATATGTAAATATCACGTCATAAACCATAATTATCGCTGAACATCCCCATACCGACGGTAGTTCAGTGCCATCTCACATGTTAGTCGGTCATCAACCGAGGCTGATCAGACTAAACGGCAAGAAACTCCGTGCCGAACCCTTGCACGCCGCGTTGTGTCGGCTAGAATTTCTCGCCTACGTACGCACTGGCGCAACCGATGAAAGTTGGAATAAAGCAAAGAAATATTGTGTTCTCGGTCGAAGATAACTTTAGCGTCAATGACATCCACCAGGTTTCTGGTCCTCTTGCCGTCATCAATCTCAAGGTTTTCATGGCGGCCGTCTGTTTGCTGTCGACTGATATCTACTATGCATGATGGTAGCACGTGGGTCTTGCAAGCATACTTGTGCAATATTCACTGTGCAATTTTCAACAGGTCAATCATAGATATGCTATCTCAGAACAATTAGAAGTCGTTCTATTACTATAAGGAAGGACTAATTTCGAATGTGAGCCTCTGGCAAGGCACGGGCTAATATGAGGGTAATGACAGATCCGTAGGAGGAATGCACAATACAGGTGTTTCCGAGCATCGTAGTAGAGACTCAATGGTCAACGTCAAACAAATAGCAGCAACTAGGATTTCTGTCCTTTCTGGTCGCTTTGCTTTTTGTCCTTATCTCGTCGTCCCTGAGCATGTTTGCCTGCTTTGATAGTCGCGTTTTTGGTGTCGTAAAGATACTCATTCCTCGCTTCTTCTACAGCTATTCTTTCCTCTTCCTCCCTTGCGCGTCTTTTCTCTTCCTTCTTCTTGCCCCGCTCATGTGAAATATCACCCGATCTGTAGGTAAGCTCCGCCATTGACTCTCCATAGTGGAACTGGTCCGATCCGTCGCTTCTTCGTACTTCTTCGTCACGCTTGCTGGAAGACATTCTGTAAAGGTTAGTAACATTGATCCATATCAGACTTTTAACACGTTATGAATGCAAGCCACAGCTTACTTGAAGAAATATCAGGAGATTGGTTTGATGATGAATTGATTGACTGGTCGGTTTGGAATGAAAATAGGGGTTTGATCTAAGGGTGTCGAGACTATTTCAAACCTCAACAACCTCCTTTCTGTATGTTAATACATATATCTCGTCTTTGCCTCTCGATATACATGTTGGTGAACAGCTGCGTGTTGGATTATGAACAGTGTTCCGTGAGAGCATTTCCTTACTCGCCCCCGACCCCACCAATGCTTGAAGTGAACAGTTGTCTAAGAGTATAGTGTAACTTGTTCATTATGTCTCTCAAATCACCAACAAACAAAGAAAAGAAACAAGATTGAGCATGGTTCAAGACGTGGATACGTGGATACCCGTGGAGTAAAGTTATTTACCATGGAAGGATGGGCATTGCAGTTTTTTAGTTGAGGTTGAAAATTACTTCACAAAAATCATCGATAGGGCCACAATTCAACTAGGAATTCCACAGCGATCATTCATCTTTGTTTCTAATCCCGTAGCTCGCTGCGGTAAGGTTGACCAGGCGGTAAATAAATGAGGACGAACATGACAAGCCGCATCGAGTAAGTAGAGACAATTTTCCTTCGTAGTTCTTTTTCCGTAGCGCATTTTTTTGTGATTTACCAGGCTTCGAATGCTTTTCCGCAGCTACTGTAATGGTCGGAACGTAAAAATAGTGTCTTCAATCCTAAAAGTAGGCACTGATCTATAGAGGCGGTGAATTCAATTCGCCAAGGATTGTGCCACATCCCCGCAGGTGGATGGCAGATGCAAGGCACGCAGGGCAGGTGGTCACCATACCAGGTCGGTTTCTGGCTAGCACATAAGTACAAATGCTTTGCCTGTTGCCTCCGCCTTTGAGGTTCGTTTTCTTGTTCAATGCCCCAACACACTTTTTTGTCCGTTTCTCAGCAAATCGCCCCACCAATACACATGCATTGTTAGTAAAGATGCCCGACAACGACGCCTGGGACCGCAAAGACGAGGCTTGGGAGAGAGCGGTGAGAGAAGCCAGATCGCTCTCCCGATACCGTAAAGTCACAGCTTTCGCTGAGCGTATGTTTGAGGAATCTGCGATGATATCGTTCCCAATCTACATCGGCGGTTCACATGTCTCATACCCCATCCGACTCGGAGGTTCTTCTCTTAGGATTCTGGTTCGTTTGCCTCTCACGGACAGAACTGGATTCAGTGCAGAGAAATTATCTTTAGAAGCCGCTACAGCCGACTACCTCTCCAGACAGTCTGAGTTGCCCATCCCAAAAGTCCATCATCATGGACTCGATCTTGAGATCGGACCATTCGCCATTATGCAAGACTTTGGTAACAAAAGGGACATGCGCGATTTCTTGGAGACGCCGCGAACACATCTGAACGACCCACCAGTCTTACGCCCCGATATCTCAGACGAAAGGCTTGGAATACTGTATTTACGCATAGCGCGATGCGTGCTCCAGATTGTACAGCCCTCGTTTCCTGTCATCGGATCTTTGGTCAGCACAACGCCCGGATCATGTGCTGTGCTAGGGCGCCCCATCACAGCCAATATGTCCACTATGGTACAATTATCCAACGTCCCTGAGTCGATACTGCCACCCACAGGTTCCACGTATCAAAATACAGATGATTGGTACGTGGTTCTGGCCCAAATGCATATGGCGACACTGGTCTTTCAACACAACGACATGGTGTCGTCGGAAGATGACTGCCGGTGCAAGTACGTTGCTCGACAACTATTTCTTAGACTGGCCAAGCAACACCGGCTCTCCAAATTTGGCTTCGCTGAAGATGACTGGTCAGATCGCTCCATCACTAGTAGATCGAATTTATCGATGCCACCAGGCTCGGGATCGTTTCGCCTTTGGAACGATCATTTTCAGCCAGGCAATGTCCTGGTTGATGACAGCGATCTTGTTGCCGGTGTCGTTGACTGGGAGTTTACATATGCCGCGCCGACTCAATTTGTCTTGGATTCTCCCTGGTGGTTGTTACTTGACTGGCCGGAAAGATGGCACAACGGTATAGTAGAGTGGGCACATGAATATGGAAGACGATTAGAAACGTGGCTTTCGGCACTGCGAGAGGCGGAAATTGAGATGGAACCAGGTTCTTTTCTTCTGTCAACTTACATGCGGGATAGTTGGGAGACGGGCCGCTTCTGGCTGAACTACGCTGCCCAAAGTAGTTGGGGTTTCGACAGCATTTACTGGAGATATCTGGACGAGCCATTCTTCGGTGTGAGGGATGCAGAGGTCCCCACCGAGCAACTTTGGAGGACGAGGATTCATCTTCTCACTGACGACGAAAAGGAAGCTATGGAGCCTCTGGTACAAATCAAGATGGCAGAATCGAAGGAACGGGCTTTGGTCGACTGGAAAGATGACGAAGCAAAGCAACGCATGTCGTCATTCTTGTTTGATTAAGTATTAAGTATTCCAACAATGGCGATTATAGTACTCTTACATATTTTCAAATAAGGCTGGGACCAGCAATCGGGTTTCCATTAGACTTCCCTTTGCCAGCATTATCAATGATTGTAGTTCATGAAATGTCCTGCTGGACTCCATGAAGGAGTCCTGCTACGCAGGCGGAGCATGCCTACAACTCTCTTGGCAGAAATCTACCTATCTTAGGCGTTGGTTTTCATATCCCGGAATCGTAGGCTGAGTGCATTAGAAGCAGCGACAGTGAATGTGAAGCACTTGATTACCTTATGATTTGATACTGACATGGCGCAACAAGGTGAAGGGTCCTGTTAAGCATCTCCAAAGCGGAGCTATCCGTGTGTTGCAGTTCTGAAGCAGTCGCAGCCCCTGATCGCTGAAACGGCCAATCCATGATAATAGACACGGAGCTAATTGAACCACGCGACCTTGATCTCAAGTTCAAATCAAACCAACCAATGATCATTTAAACACCAAAGCTTCCGTCGGATCATAGCATGGCATCTTAAAGCCTATGAGACTGAGGATTGACGTCGCGTGCAAAACCCCGGACTACGCCGTTCCCACACACGCCTGAGGGTCTCAAATCAGCGTGGTGAGACTTGTGACAGCGCGACAAATCTCAATGACAGTCCTGGATATCCCAGCAAACCTTAAACATGCCATCGGATCAATGGCTTGCCCATCATTACCTTCGCGTCATGTGTTTGGACGTGATCTTTTCCTGTGACCAGTGGTTACAGGACAGCTTTTTATCTATTTTAATTTTTCGAGGCCAGTTAAATAAGCCATCCATAGCCTCTTTCCAGCATCCTTTAATTGTCCCCTCGTAGTCTTCAGCAACTCATCTGTTTCATCGCCAAGCAGAAGCTGGTCTTCAGTCGAACATAGCCTTTCCTCTTGCACCTCATCAAACTTCCTAATCCCAATAATTCTACGCCGGTAATCGCCGTCCACTGAGCTCTGTCTCCGTCAAGATGAGACTCACCTCCGCAACCGCCTTGTTGGCTCTGTTGATGAGCCCCGTTTTTGCTCGTAAGATTTCTTTTCGACAGGAGCGGTATTGTTTCATTAGCTAACCATGAGGCAGAAAGTTGTAATAATGGCCGTGGCTTTTGCAAGGGCGGGCGATGCGAGCCAAATAACGACCCAAGCGGCGCTGGACCTTTCGTGGGGACTTTCAAGGAATGTCTAACCGGCGGCGGACAATCTCAAGTTGACGACTTCATCCTCGGCGGGGGTAACCAAAACGCGAAGGTCAACGCTGGCGCGGCGTGTAATAACGGAAGAGGCACTTGTAGTGCCCGAGGTGCTTGCGAGCCCAACAACGATCCCAGTGGAGCAGGCCCTTTTGTTGGCACCTTTGACGAATGCTTCAGTTAAACAGTTGTTGAAAGCACATTTTAACCCTCAATAAGTAGAATATTCCCAGTCCATTATTCATCTGGTTACCTTGATAGGTTTATTGGAAGCATGAGAAATTCCGTGCCGGATTCTTGATACACATCTGAAATGCGTGTTATCGGACGGGAAGTCGAGCGCTTGTGAACTGGCCGCTTTGAAACGTTGAGGAAAGTCACTTCAACTACCGGTGAATCCGAAAGACGCATGGTCGGACTTAAGAGCTCCAATCTCCATAATGAACCCAGTCTCCTTGAAGCCATTACCAATCAACTATCAAGGTAATTCTCAACTCGCATTATGACAATGGCAGCCACAGGTCAATCGGCGCTAACTCCGATCAATAATGCGATTTGATGTCAGCGATACGCATCAACAGCTAGCAAATTCCCACATTTGAGGGGCAGAGAGACACTGATCAGCGCAATGCGGGGTAGCTGTTCGCCATTTCGGTGCCGTCCACTACCCGCGCTGTGACCCCTCTTGATGGCGCGATCGGGCCCTAATGACGTTGAGAATGGGATGGACAAGATATATGTTCGACGTCTCCCCGCTCGGCAGATCTGCTCCTGCGATAAGATTAAGTGCTGACTGGTATCAGTAACCGAACGCCACATTACGCAGATCCTGACCTTTGAGATACAAGAGATACAGCAATCATGGCCAACAAGCAGCTTCCCGCGCGTTTGAAGGAGTCGCTCGAGAGCACTAAAGTCGAGTACCGCCAACTCGGAAAGTCCGGACTTCGTGTTTCAGTTCCCATCTTTGGCTGCATGAGCTTTGGCGACCCGCGTACGATTCCGTGGGCTCTGGGCGAGGACGATGTGCGTGCGATGCAAAACCAATTGCGTGGACAGGTTGTACTAACAGGAGCTTTCAGGCGCTCCCGCTGCTCAAGGCTGCCTACGATCGAGGCCTCAACACTTGGGATACAGCCAACGTGTACTCCAACGGTGCTTCCGAGGTCACCATTGGCAAGGCGCTCAAGAAGTACAACATCCCCCGCGAGAAGGTCGTTATTCTGACTAAGTGTTTCTTTGCGGTTGGCGAGGAACCTGGTACGTCATTCAGATCGAGATTTGAGACGAGTTTCTAACTGATTGATTAGAGGCTCGGCAATTCAACTTCCGCGATGAGTTCAACAAGGTGAAGGATTACCAGAACCAGTTTGGTCTCTCCCGAGGGGCCATCTTCAACCAAGTCGAGGCTTCGCTTAAGCGCCTTGATACCCCGTACATCGATCTGTTGCAAATTCATCGATTCGACCCGCGGACGCCCGTCGAGGAAACAATGAAGGCTTTGCATGACTTGGTTCAGTCTGGAAAGGTTCGATACATCGGCGCAAGCAGCATGTGGGGAACCCAATTCGCCCAGATGCAGTTCGTCGCGGAAAAGAACAACTGGACCAAATTTGTCTCAATGCAGAACCACTATAATCTTCTGTACCGCGAGGAAGAGCGGGAGATGAACCGATTCTGTGACGATACCGGCGTAGGACTTATTCCGTGGGCTCCGCTATGTAAGTGAACCTCGGGCAGTAAACGAAGCATACGAGGCATGGCTAACCATACATGACACCAGGCCGTGGTCATCTCGCGAGACCTCCCGCAGACTTCGGCTCCACTTCGCGAAGCAAGGGCGAGAAGGAGGGCCAACCCGGATCCCACGGGACGGTCGAACCAGATCTCACAATCATCAAGAGAGTTATTGAGATCTCGGAGAAACGCCAGTGGCCCATGGCGCACGTGGCTCTGGCATGGATCAACAAGCGGGTTACCAGCCCCATCATTGGCTTCAGCAGCGTCGAGAGAATCGACCAGGCCATTACGGCGGACGGCAAGGTTCTCACCGAAGAGGAAGAGAAATATCTGGAGGAACTGTACCAGCCCAAGGCCATTGCTGGTCACATGTAGTGAAGTCTAAGCGAAGCAGGGTCTTGCTAGCAGTAAGAAGCAAACCTCTCCAATCGGATCTATTCAACGCGTTCTCACGAGCCGCACCGTTCGTGCAGCACAGGGAAGCAATCGGAGCCGACAAGAATCTTCCTGAATGTTGCGTAATTTGACTCGCACCCTGACCTGGCTGAAGCTTTAAAAATGCATCCAAGCTTTTGCATCCTTCCCTCTGGGATCCTACCATGTTCACCAAGCCGATTACGAAATAGGAGGGTTAAAAATTGGTCCTTGGATTGGATGAGGCGATTTTCGTCTGATCTCCCAGTCTGCCTCGCAACATTATCCGTCACAGAACAAGCTTCATTTACTGCGGTACAGATCTAATGGACAGCAACTTCACAGCCATCACGGCCTGACTGTCGATGTTGGCCGATCCATGGATTGAGTCCCCGATTCCATCCCCCCTCTTGGACCCCGCATCCTTCCCTGAGCCACATTCCGTATTCGGCGAAAGCATTGACAAAAGTTGCTCTTTTCGTTACCCTTTCCCGCCCTCCATCTGAATGCGCGGGCGCATGACACCTGCCGGCCCATCATATTGCGCACTAGTTGCCGAGGGACGGAAGGGGGCCAACACCACGGCACGGTCGGGACACATGGGATAGCTCTAGAACCCCTCCCCGAAGAACTTGTAGAAGGGCTCTCATTAGCGCCCACGACCTTGACGGGTGTCAAAAATTAGGAACACTTCTCTTTTCGGCCATGCGATGCGAAGACTTCCCCGGCAGTTTCCGAAGTCACCGCCATCTCCCGTCGCACGCTACCTGGTTCATCCGACATTAAGCTACCTGGGCAAACTCAAGCGTAGGCGATTGAGATCTCTGGGTTTCTGTCATATGATATCATTGCGTTCTTTCCATGATTGCCGAAGACGACATGGCTGTGCATGGCTCTAACGTTGATATATGCAGGTGTCGTGGCCCGGACCCTTTTCAACCCCTAGGTCTGACCACAACTCCTGAAAGAGGTCGCGAGAACAGACTTCCCCGGTGTTCGCCAAATTCTTTCTTCTTCACCATCGCTTCTTAATGATGTTTCCCAGGACGCTGGCCTTCGTCTCTCTAATCTCCTTGGCTTGGGCAGCGCCGCAGGCAAAAGGAGGTACTCCACAAGTCACGATCAAAACGCCACAAGCCAACATCAAAGGCACATCAAAAGGATTTCTCGGAGCAAAGGCCGGCGAGGTCGAATCATTCAATGGAATCCCGGTCGCGAAGCCTCCTGTTGGGGAGTTGCGATTCAAGCCCCCCGTCCGCATCACTGAAGCCTTGGGCAACGTCGACGCTACCACAGAACAACCCGAATCTTGCCCGCAGTTCGCCCTGAACACCAACTTCGGCTCACCTCTTATCCCGCCAGATGTTCTAGATAAGGTGCTGAACTTGCCCATCATCAAGAACCTTGCCGTTGGACAAGAGGACTGTCTCACGATCAATGTGCAACGGCCAGCTGGGACGACGGAGAAGGATAAGCTCCCGGTAATGTTCTGGATCTTCGGAGGAGGCTTCGAGCTGGGGAGCACGTCAATGTACAACGGGGCTGGTCTCGTAGCAGAATCCATGTCTACAGGGAAGCCAATCGTCTTTGTAGCTGTTAACTACAGAGTGGGAGCGTTCGGTTTCATGCCTGGAAAGGATCTCATGATGGAGGGAAGCTCCAATGCTGGACTGCTTGATCAAAGAATGGGTCTCGAGTGGGTTCAGGACAATATCGCCAGCTTTGGGTAAGAAGTCTTAGCCTTCCGTAAGCTATTGAGAAATACTAACAATCAATTTCATAGCGGAGACCCAGACAAAGTCACCATCTGGGGAGAATCGGCCGGGGCTATTTCGGTTTTCAGTCAGCTTACACTGAATAACGGCAATATCACTCGCAACGGAAAGGCGCTTTTCCGCGGTGCAATCATGAACTCCGGCTCGGCTGTACCTACCGATCCGATGGATTCGCCCAAGGCACAGAAGATCTACGACCAGGTGGTGTCTACGGCCGGCTGCGACACGGCAGCGGATCGCCTCAAGTGCCTACGAGATCTCCCCTATGATGTAAGGCAACTCTTCGGCCTTTTCTTACGTCCATTATCTGACAATGAACTCCACAGGATATGAGAAAAGCGGCAAACTCGGTTCCCGGCCTCTTGAGCTACAGCTCGATTGCCCTTTCATATCTCCCCAGACCCGACGGCAAAAGCATCGTTTCCAGCCCTGAGCTTTTTGCAACCTCAGGCAAACTCCCCAAGGTGCCGTTCATCATTGGAGACCAAGAAGATGAAGGCACTCTTTTCGCTCTCTTCACACCGAATATCTCCACAACTTCGGAGGTGGAAGAATACTTCCAAACTCTGTTCTTCAATAATGCATCACCTCAACAAGTAAAAGGTCTCGTCGCCACTTACAAGAATCGTCCTTCTGCGGGATCTCCCTTCCGGACTGCCGGCTTCAATAATATCTACCCACAATTCAAGCGCATGGCGGCTATTCTTGGGGACTCTGTCTTCACTCTCACCCGGAGGGCGGTGCTCAACATTTCAACAACTGTGCAACCCGACGTCCCGAATTGGAGCTACATTTCCAGTTATGACTACGGGACTCCAGTTCTGGGTACCTTCCACGGGTCGGATCTACTTCAGACGTTCTACGGCATCAAGCCAAATTACGCCGCCTCAGCCACACGAGCATATTATTTCAACTTTGCCTACAATCTGGACCCCAACGACTCGACAGGCGGTACTGGAGTGGCGAGCGTCAAACTTATTGACTGGCCAAAGTGGAAGGATGGTGGGAAGTTGCTGCATGTGCTGGCCAATAACGCTGACTTGATCGATGATGACTTTCGCCAAGACAGCTTCAATTTTCTGTTGAACAATGTGCAAAGCCTGCGCTTCTAGAGCATGACGAAGTGGATGAGAAAGAAAATGTCTGGGTGTGCGGTGAACATTGAGCTGGGCTGTTGGACCCGTTGCGGAGGTTTGATACCTACTAGCCTAAGGTGTCCATAATCTAATTGAACGCCGTCTTCTACTAGACATCT